TAAAATGAGCACAACGGGTCAAAATTAATCAGGATTAGCAAACCAGAAATCCACTTCACAAATGGCTTTCCACTACAATCTTCTTTCGCTATCCCAGCATGCCCCGGGTTTGCCTGACAGACCTCACACACAAAATGGCTGCGTCACCGCTTCACTGATGGGTAAAATGAAGAGAAAGAGACCACCCCCCCAACTAAGCTTAGAGTCTCTAACCTTATTGTGGAGCTGGCAGATGCTGCACACTGTTCTAAAACCAACAATCGTCTTATATAGCTGCATTAGCTGTACTGTAGCTCCACACATGGAGTAAACAACGAATGTAAAACAAAGCTATACTTCATACGTGACATACAGACCAAACAATAGACAGATCATTAAAACCATAGATAGAAAAACAAATACTGTGTCAACCGTTTCCATAATGATAGTGTGAACAACAGCAAGAATGACAGGTAGGTAGATAGACAGATAGATCCAGAATGATAGCTGGATAGAACGATGAGTTGCGGGCATGAATTTGCTATGCCTTCATTCCGGGCAAGAAAAACCTGGCTCTGGTAGATGGAGAGCAAGCCTCTTACAATGTTACAAAAAGCACAGCGACCGCGGTAATTATACAAGCACACAGAGTAAAACTAAACAGCTGTTAAGCTGATACGAACTTGTATGTCACCACAGTACTTGACTGAGGCCACGAAATCAATCAAATCAAGCACCGGCGTGCACGAAAGCTGTTTACAGAAACAAAGACACATGCATATTTGTGTAAGCAGCACCACATGCATGCAGTGGTATTTTCCTGTAATGCAATTCTCCAACGCAAGATGTGAGCCAAGTGAGTGATCAGTCTGCCAGAAGTTCTCCAGGGCAGACCAATTTGGGGATCAGAGCTGAGTGAGCTTTAGATTGGTCTCGGTGGACGTACTGTAATGGGACACATATGTTCCTATACCCCCAAAATCTAGAATACGCTTAACCAGACGCCCTACACTTCTTAAACTTCAGCAGTTCTGGAACACAGAGCCAAAGGTTTCCAGGTGGGACCTAAAAGAGACCAAACTAGAACTACAGTGAAATTACTGGATACAAAGTTATGATGACTGAACTTAAAGAGTCATGCAACTTCTTGGACATGAACTCTTTCCCTGCCAGCATTTAAAAAAAAAAGTTGCCAGTCATTAGTGGTTGACCGATATTGTTTTTTTGACAGCCGATGCCGATATCTTGGAAAGCAGGGTGGCCGATATAAAGCCGATATAATTGTATTTATTTTAATTAATATTTAAGAAATTTGAAATCATTTGAAAATTGATTAAAAAATAAATGTTAAGTAAAGGGGTCATATGATGCGATTTAAATTGTTCCTTTCTCTTTGGAGTGTTACAAGCTCTTGGTGCATAAAGAAAATCTGTAAAGTTGCAAAGACTAAAGTCTCAAATCCAAAGAGATATTCTTTATAAAAGTTAAGAGTTAACCACGCCTACCTAAAACGGCTCGTTCTAACACGCCCCCACATATCTATGTCACTATGTGGGAAGATTTGCATAACGCCGCCCAAATGTTCACGCAAAGAAAGAAAGTGCTGTGGATCGCCGGATCGGCTTACACCGTGGATGAAGCGGAGTCCAGTCCGGGGTCGTCACATGTGGTTGCCGCTCCTTCGTCGAATCCGCCGGTCGCGCCGTTCTCAAGCCCGTGCCTCTGCTCACTCTAGCCCGGCCTCAGCTCACGCTAGGCCACCGGGTGTTTCATTGTGAAAGCGAAACTACTTTGTTTGGTCTTCCAAAAGAGGACATGACTTCAAATCAGTGGTTAAGATGTATTTACAACACTGTTCCAGAAATGATCCTGGAAGAGTAGACTACAATTTCAGCAGTTCTGACGCACAGTCTGTAAGTACGTTTTCATTTAAAGGATTTGCCACTGATGATTCAAACGCGAGTTTTGGGCAGTGTAGAGTTGTGTTTGTAGTTTGTCATTTCTCCGATCACAAATGCAGACATGGCTTTATGTGTACGCGGCGCGATGCAACGAAACGTGTAAAAAGGCAGTATAAGTCATTATAATCAGTAATTATGTCCCCACTGGATGCAACAAATGCCTCGTTTGTAATGGGTTTTCATGTTTTTTGTTTCGTCGCTCCGGCCGGGACACGGCATCAACAGTATGGTGAGGGGCGTAGCATTTCCATCACACTCTTGCGGTATTTGGCCAATCACAACGCACTGGATAGCTGGCCAATCACAGCACACCTCGCTTTGTAAAAATCGACGCGTTTCAAAAAGACGGGGCATAGAGGAGAAACAATAATGTACAGTATGTGGAAAATAATGTTTTTTTTTTTACTTTAAACCGCATAAACACATTTCATTACACCAAATACACAAAATAATGTTCTTTTAGCAGCATCATATGACCCCTTCAAATAAACATACTTTAGATGACAAAGTATTTTTCACAAATAAATGAATATTTAATAAAACATATAATAAAAAAAGAAGAAAAAAAAAAGAAAGAAGTAAACACTGTAACCAACAAGGCACTCAGTATTCTGGGAAGTTTGTGTGCATTGGGAATCATATTTTTTCAAATAAAGCCAAGGTAACACTCATTTTACATACAGCATACAGTGGAAATGACATGAATATGGCAGTGGGCAAATGCATAAAGTGCAGCATAATTTAAAATCACGAGTATAAAGTTTGTCGATCACACGTCTCCAGTGAAGCTGAACTCTACACCTGTCCGCATTCAATTCATACGGACCGACCGTCACGCAGAGGACATGCGATCATGCAGGTCAGATGCACACTTGTCAAGATCTCACAACTGGATCCGACTAAGTTAGCAAGGTTTGTGAAATTAAGTGTTAATTAGTCATTCAAAGATTTGTTTAAATTATATAAATGCATATTTGCTGAATGCTGACGTTTGCCTTTCTATTACTAATAATATTAAAGCAATCGTTATAATCGTATACTTTTTTGTATGGATTTTAATTCCTTTGTTTAACAGTTCTATCGGATTATTAGACAGACTTCTATCCGTATTAGACAGAACTGTTAACGACGACGGCGAACAAGAGGGAGAATGTGAGCATTGTGTGCTCAGGCTCTGCCGCTCTCAGCGCCGTCAAAATAAAAGTCTGGCACGCCATCAAAATAAAAGTCCCACCTCGATCGCATCAACCAAACAGGAAAACGTATCGGTCGATGCCGACATTTAAAATATGCCAAATATCGGCCGATATATCGGTCGACCACTACCAGTCATTGCGAGAATTTTTTATCATTTTCACAAAATTTCCATGGCCCCAGATTCTGTCAATGGCAGAGAAAATAGTTAAAGTTTAAGAAATCCAAACTGGAACTGTTATGGAACTAAACATATCAAAAGTACATATCAAACATATAACATATCTAACATATCAAAAGAACTTTCACGAAACTTAATGGATATCAATGTTACAAAATCTAAACTGGAACTGGATATCAAAGATTACAACCTCATAAATGAAACTATCGTCAAACATCATAGATTTCAAAGGTCACACATCCTTACAAGATCCGTAATCTCTACAGATTGGACGTCAAATTGCTAGTCTGATAATGTTTATTCCCTGCAGTCCTAAATCACTTAATCCACATATTTCTACTCTTGGTTTACACTTTTCTAATCCTAATCCGGCACTTCTTACTACTTTCTGCTTTCCCTGTATCATCTCCGTGATCCCTGGGGAGTGTGTTTGCATGACACACATTAGCAGGATTTTAAGAAAGATACAGTTTTTCTCGCCATCAGCCGAAACACAGATTAGGGTGTCTGTAATATCAGCAACAACAAGCTCTTCTGTTGCCATCATAAGAGCTCAAACCATATGCTTTGATCTACTTTTAAACATGTCAGCTGTTGCACAAGACTTTTCCTACGGTTATGTCTGGAAGTCATCCACAGACCAGACGTGCAAAAAAAAGGACTTTAATTTGGACCCCGACAGCAGTCACAAGTTTTACTCTTCCTCTGAGCTCGACTTGTCTCTTCTCACTTCCTCTTTTCTCCATTTTCAGAGAGAGGGGTCAAAGGCTCTCCAAAGGATTCATGCCGGGCATCACAAGTGTGGCATTAAACTAGACAGCTCCTTTGCACTGTGTAAAAAACAGAATTTGTTTCACAACTTAGTTCCCCTACAAAACATGGATGTGAACCAACTAAAAAAAACTTCTAGGGCCGACTTTTACTACTACTGGAAACAGTAAAAAGTAGCTCAGATCCGCATTAAAAGCAGCCACTTGAAAACAAGTCAAAAATACAAAACACCATCTCACCATTTTACAATCTCATAGAAGTTTAACAGGTTTTTAGCAGGATTACAGTGCATCTGAGATTTGCTGTCTGGCATTGAGGTCTAGAGATGTAAACCCACCCACCCAAAATTAACAACCCCTTCTGATGAGTCGGACGTCCCTCGACTTCCTGCAACCATATTTAGAACTATGTACTTCCACACATGTGCAACTTAACAAATGTAGCATTTGAAGGGAACCTGGAAAATATGGATATCTCTTTGGCTCCCAAGGCCAAAAACCCTTCAACATTTATGAAAAAAATTAGAAAAAGAGAACGGCACCATTCCGACAAGAGGAATGTTACTCTTGTGGATGGAGTATGGATCTGAAAATGAGCTCCTAGTGGCCTTTGGGAGCATATTGCTTTGGTGGGAAAACATTAACTTCAACATCAAAAACATAGCCTATCAGCCAAACTGCTGCCTGAACAAGAAGAGAGCTTCCTTGAATTAAAAAGTAAAGAAACAAGTGTTTAGTTGCATGAGTTTTGCTACAGTATGTATTATTAAAGTAACTTGAATATTGAACTGACAACCCTGGGTTTTCAAAACCAGTTTATGTTTACCAGTTTAATCACGTCTAAAACATCCAATGCAGGAAAAATGACACGTGAAACACTTACATAGCACCCAAAATATATTTTCATGCTCTTACCTTTAGGTGCAGTAGGCGAGAACAGCTTCTCTGATCCTACATCAGATGCCTGCAAAACAGAAATGAAACAATTAGACCATGTTCAAGTAAAGTTCCTTTTTAACTGTTCTTGTCCTCCCCTTTTTAAGGGGAAAGACAACAACACTGGGGAACACTGTTGTGCCAGCCTAAAGATGTCTACCAATAAACAAAGGACAGAGAAAGAAGAAAAACTGGAGGATAATGAGGTAAAAAGCCAATAGACAAATAAAACACTGTGCAAATGTTTAAGTGGAGCCAAGTTGCGCAATTTTCCACATCCCTACTCTTAATGATCTAATAAAAGAACACTGACGGATGGTGACATCACAAATCCTACCCGCAGATTAGAATAGGAAAAAGGTAATCTCCCTACAAAGTGACTTAAGTGCTATGTAGACTAAACATAAGTGTGCTTTCCTTCCCCTCCATGTACCAGAGTGTGTAGTTTCTGGCAAGAAGCAAGAAAAAGAAAACACGCCATGCTCTAACAAAAACACACAGTCACTGACAGACAGGACGTGGGGCTCTTAACGAAGAGAAAGAACGCTAACATTTTTCACACACTATACACAAGAGCGGTAAAGAATGCTGGCATACACATTCCAGCTTTTTCTTAGAATAAAACAGTCTATCAATTAAAAACACACACTACGCATTTAACTTAGCAAGAGAGAGCAGGCAGTCATGTGTTTAAATATCTGCTTATTCTGAGCTTCTTTTGGCATATGGTATATGGTTATCTATATTATTATGCCTGTTATCAAATGCAGTAGTATATGCTAAAAGACAAGCAATAAGAAAATAACATTGCTGTTGAAAAGATTAATTTGATCATGTCACCGTTTCATTTTTAGGCATAGAACCTTCTGCAGCACGTTTTGATAAAAATGGACCACAGTTTGTCTATGTGAATCTTGTGTAGACCAAGTTTCTAGCTCAATTAATAACTTGTTCTTTAAAATGTGTACTTTGTCTAATATGCAAAACCTCCTGTTAGACCAGACCCACGGCATGGCATAATTTCTGAGACCTCCGCTGACGTAAATCCTGGACTACATTAATAAGGACCTCTATTTCAGCCCCATAATTCACTATGTCAGGGGACTAATTTTCGCCTGTGTCTGAACGCTGGAACACTTTAGCTCACACACCCGTAGGATTACATGAAAGAAAAGAGGTTCAGATGAAACTGGGGACGTAGCATATGTATAAGCCTCGGGTTTGGGCAAAGACTGTTGTCAACAATCATTCGGCGTGTGCCTTTAATGTTGAAAAGAAACTTTCAATACAATGATCTGGTTATGAAAGGTATTCTTATGAGAGCTTAAAACAAGAAAAGAACTGCCAGACTGTTAAAAAAAAGAACGAGATTTATGGTGGCTGCATTTCACTGTTTGTATTTTTTGCCAGTAAGCTGTTCTTCCGAGCAGCCTTTATACTGTGTCCCTACAGGCCAGAGGTCAAAGGTCACTCATAACAAATTCTTTGCACTCTTACAAAGCAGGGGGGTCGAGAGGTGATTAAAGTACAGAGTGATCAAAATGAGCAAGAAAGGAGAAAGAGCGAGAGAGAGAAAAAACAAAGCAAAGACCCTGCCAGCTGAAGGAAGCAGAGGGGCTATAACCATTTCAAAACGGAGGAAATTGAAGCCACATTGCTGGGAGCCAAACAGCGTTGGCGGGGCCGCAGGAGGCCTGACCCGAGAGGACGTGTGATACTGGATCTGGAGGCAGAGAGGCCAGGCCTGGGACTCTTGAGATACCAAAACAGTCCTCAGTTCACTTCTCCCATTGCACTTATAAACTACAGGCTATGATGCAGCCTCCTCTGGAGCACGACCCAACTCTCATAGGAGCCACAGAGGAAAACAGAGAGATGGACGGCCAGAGGAGAAGGTAGGGAGGGAGTGAGAAAAATAAAAAGGTCATGGCCATGTGTTGAGAGACCTGCTGCCTACAGTTGTAAAGTGCCACTGGAAGAAAGAACGAGAAAGGACAGACAGGGAGGGGAGGTCGGATTCATTGCACCAAAACGGTGCTAAGCCATAAAAATAAACAATCACAGCAGTCAGAGTTCAAACTACAACAGACATCTAAACATTTTATACTGCTTCTTCTAATGCTCCACAAGAAGACTGAATTTATAAAGCCAAAAGAATGAAAGCAATTGACATGAAATTCCTTTGTGAAGTATTCTGCAGTGTGACATGCAACTGTTTTTTTATGACTTCAGTCACCGAGAGAGTTATGTAGCCAAAAAGATCATTAAAAAGCAGATTTCAACCTGTAATCTAATTATAGATTAAACATCAAAATCAATATGCAGGTGCAAAAGGTAAAATATTTGGCTTTGGTGAGGGAAATTGCATCAAATTTCACCAATATTTAGATTTGACTGTAAATCAAAAAAAAAAAAAACTGGTAAAACCATGGAATTAATATGGTATTCCTATGTGCATTACTATTCAAAAGTAGTGGGTTGGTAAGATTATTTAAATTTTTTATATATAATTTTATATCTAATATATTCATATAATAATATATTTTTAAAAAGTAATTTACGTGATGCAAAGCTGAATTTTTACCATTTAAATTTAGTCATTACTTCAGTCTTCAGTGTCACATGATCCTTCAGAAATCATCAATATACTGATTTGGTTCTCAATAAATATTTCTGATTATCCATGTTGAATAGAGTTATGTTGCTTAATATTTTTGTGGAAACAGCAGGATTCTTTAGTTCATAAGAAGATCATTTATATGGAATAGAAATCTTTTGTAACATTATAATCATAATTGTTACATTTGATGAATTTGTCATTGCTGTTTAATAACCAAATTTCTGAATGGCAGTGTATTTGGTATTATTACACAGTACAAATAATACCATGGTATTGCCATTACAATATTGACCATGGTAGACCCAAGCTGCATCTTAATAATAAAAAAAAAGTAATAATTGAATAAGTCCACTCAATGAATATAAACAAAATTCAATACTGTATAAACAATCCCACTGAAATACATGATAGAACCAGTAATATAACAAAAGTCGACTGATCTGTTTCCTCCCCTGCTCCTCCTCCTCACACGCCTCTGTTCACCTCTGACACCCTGTGAGTTCAGTGCCAGGAGAGGGTGGCACAGTGGAGCCACTGGAGGCTTCAGAGAGGAAGGTGTGGCACACTGCTGCGATGTCACGCTGCCATTGGCAGGCAGGCCGGCCAGATGGCATCAATTATCAGAGAGAGAAAAAGGGAGTCAGCCTGGCCTGAAGAGGGCTGCTACACAGTCCTCTGATTAACCTGACAACAACAGAATGACCTCTACAACAGATTTTAGTATGTGGATCATGCCTGTGTTTTATCTTTGTCACAATAAACTCCTCCTCATTCTTCCTCTCCTCCATCAGCAATCATTCCTCACCCATCATCTTGCCTCAGTCCTCTGATCTGTATAATGTATGTGGACTGTGTGCGTTTGTTGTTCGGTAGTCTCACGTAGCCAGACCTTCAGACTCATGGCAGAATTAAAAACACTTTAATTGTGTTTTAATTGTGCCCACGATTTTTTTTTTCCCAAGAAACATCTAAAAAGCAAGCAACAGCAAAGTTCTCCTTTTAATTTGTGCGGTCTAGTACAAACAACTGAGATTTTAGAAATCTCATTTCTCCATTTTCATTCCAAAGGGGATGTCAGGCGGTACAGGTACAACATAGTTCCTCAGGATTGTACATTTGCCTGCCCTTGCACCCATGCAGTCATCCAGACATACAAGTTCCTGCTAATGAAACACCAAATTAATTATCTTCACTGTGTTTGTCCTTCTCTCTCCCATTTCTCTCCCACTCCCTCTCTCTCTCCTCCTCTCGCTGCTCTGCTTAATGACCTCCCTACATACTCGTTTATCATGAGCACTGCTACATCTCTCCCCCTGCGCTCTCATCCTATCAGCCGTGGTGCAGACCGCCTCCAGTCAGAACAGGTGTGTGTGAGAGTGGTTACAGCTCTCTGCCCTCTACACTTCACAGGAGAGTGACACACACACACACACACACACACACACACACACACACCCACACCAGTGCATTAGACATGCATCTGCACCTAAAGCATCATTAAGATGATAATGTATTCCACTGGGTGACCGTGCAAAATGCAGGCCTACCCACAAGTCTGTGCTGCTCGCCGCGAGCGCCACATTCCATGTCAGCCGCGATTGGCTGACGGTGGGGAACGATATCTCCGTCGAACTCTCGCTTGGCAACAACATGACGAGAACCTAAAGCGCAATCGTAGCACAGCTCCTGTGGTTTGCATATCTAAATCGCCTGCAGTTCCTGTGATCCCGTCTTCTCTGTTCCTCTAATTCACCCCTTTCCTCGCAGTTACTTTACATTTTTACCATCCTACTTGCTCTGATCTCTCTTCATTTATCTTTCTGTAGTAATCTTCCTTATCCAATGTCATCCTTTCTTCCATCTTTCTCAATATAATTTAATCTCACTTTCACTCACACATTTTTCAACCTTTTTTTTTGCAATTACTTCCGCCTGCTTTTGAGCATTCACAGTCTGTTAACATAACAGGCGGTTGGTGCGAAATACAAATTAGAATGCTATCCGGTGAGCGTAGGGCAGACTGAGATCACAGGGGAGGTAGAGAGAGAGTGAGCGAGAGAGACGGAGAGAGAGGGAGGGAGGGTAAAGATGTGTCTCATAGTAACACTAAGGCCAAACAGTGAGACAGGGTCACAAATCAGCACAGTTGTGGTTGCCTCCTGACACATGGCCAGGAATAAACACATTATGAGAAACAAAGTAAAAAGCAAAGACAAACAGTGTAGAAGAGCCATCTTACACATATAGTAAGCTCTGTTCCAAAACCTAGTGAGCTGCCTAAAAAGGGATTACCGATATGTTCCAAAATTGATGCAGTGCCAAAGTAGAACACAATGCAGAATGCAAAGTAGAGACCGACTAGGGATGTTCATTTTAACCGGTTAACTGTTAACCGACCGTGAAGAATT